TGGTGTTTGGGTTTTGTTTCATGTTCATGTTTTCCATGTCTTTTATTTTGTAATTGTTTTATGCTGTTTGTGTCATACTTCCCTTACCTTCATGTATCTCAGCCTTGTGTATGTGTCTTGTTCTGATTGGTTGTTTTAGTCATGTGTCTTGTTTCCCATTGGTTTGTTCTTGTCATGTGACCTCTTGTTTCCTATAAGTAGCCATCATGTTGCCATTGTCTGTCGTCGTGTATTGATGTTGTAATACTGAGTCTAGTCTGTTCATGTCAAGTCTGTTCATGCCTCGAAGTCTGTTCATGTCAAGTCTCGGATTATTGTTTGGATGTTTGGATCACACTGTAAATAAACTGCACTTGGGTTCTTCACTACTCTCGCCTTCAGTGGACTGATTCATTACAGATATAGAATGAGGTGGTGCCTCCGTATCAAAGGCATAGAAGAGAAAAAAGATGAAGATATTAGATCATTTGTCAATCCATAACAATGTTAGATTAGATTTACTTGATTGTGGTGGGTTGGATTTCAATTTTTTTTAGATTACTATAAAGCATTTGATGCTGTTGAGCATCCTTTTTTTTTAAGCATTTTGGTTTTGGAGTAAGATTTAAAATTGAATTTAAATGTTATATAATGGTATCAATTAGGTCTAGGTCATGGAACCTGCAAAATATTCCCCAACTAAAAGGGGAATTCATGAAGGTTGTGGTAGCTCTCCATGACTGTTTATAATGGTTGCAGAGCTATTATCTATATTGATTAAAAAATAATAATGATATTGTGTTGGATAGGCAAACAATAACATGGCATATTAATTTGCATAGATAAATGTAAATCAATATTAAACCAATGGCTGCAGAGGCATCTTACAATCTTTGGAAGAGTTCTTTTGTCTAAAATGGATAGTTTGTCCATACTCGTATACCCAGCCTTCTCCTTACCCATATCAACATGAAATATTAAAGCGATAAATAAGACAAATTTAAATTTATTTGGAGAAATAAATGTCAGTACATAAGAAAGGATAACATGATTAAAAAGTATGAAAATCATTAATTCGATTTATTGTCCCCTGTGCAATCTTTAAAAACGTGGATGGAATACGTTTCTTTCTGCGTTGTGATTTTGAGTGTTCAGTGAAACTTCTATTAGCAAGTGCTGCTTTATTGCGCCATGGCCGCCTGTTCTGCCTGCTCCGCCATGGCCCCCCGCTCTATGAAAATTAATATGCCAATAACATGGCATATTAATTTGCATAGATAAATGTAAATCAATATTAAATCAATGGCTGCAGAGGCATCTTACAATCTTTGGAAGAGTTCTTTTGTCTAAAATGGATAGTTTGTCCATACTCGTATACCCAGCCTTCTCCTTACCCATATCAACATGAAATATTAAAGCGATAAATAAGACAAATTTAAATTTATTTGGAGTATTTACGGAAGTTAGAGACTGTAAGTTTTGAATTATTATATCTTCTAAGTGCGAATTGTGTCATTGTTTTGGAGCACACTATAGCTTATAGATAACATATTCATACTAAAAAACAAAAAAAACTTCAATTTTGATTTCATGGGGACTTTAAAAATAAGATTAAAAATGATTTGGTAGGTTTTTGTTTAAAAAAAAAAAGTGACATCCATTGACATAAATGTGAATAGAATTTTGATTATTGCACAATGTGTGAAGATGAGTTTAAATGTGTGTAGTGTTTTGAAGTTTTCTTACCCATTGCCTTTAAATATGAAAATGTAGTTTGGCTCTCTACCCCAGGGTTTAAAGTCAATACAGGTCTTGAGTCTGAATTGCTCAAATGCTTTCAGTATCACACCTTTAGCATTGATTTCTATATATAAAGTATCTATTTTCCCTCAGACTAGGGTTGATTAAGTATTTAATGCAAAGCATCCTCCTCGAAGTTAGGGTGTAGGGTGTTGTAAAAGAAAACAACATTTCTCGTTTCGCACTTGTCTCGCACCATTTCAACATGAGCATCAAAAAATGTGACCCTGGACCACATAATCAGTCATGAGGGTCAATTTTTTAAAATTGAGATTTTTACATCATAAGCTTTACATTGATGTGGTTTGTTATGATAGGACAATATTTGGCCGAGATACAACTATTTGAA